AATAGGGTAAATACATCTCATATTACTGATTTACTGGTAGTCTCGAAACTCTACTTAAATACGAAAAATTAGTTAGCGTAGTCAGCTTCTGTTTAGCTTTAATTTTGAAGCTAGTTGCCGGGTAGTCGGACAGTGTTTAGGAAGATAAGGCTAAATTATTATTATATTAAAGCTCTTAAGCTATGATTTTATTTATTTACAACAAAAGAATATTAATTTTTATTTTACTATAATAGTCGAGTTATTATTATTATGTATTATTATCATAGCAAATAGACTTTTATGTCTTTTAGAAGATAGTCATATCCGTCCAATATATCATGCATTATTATATTGTAGATACCCTAATTTCGCTCTAATGGAGAAAGGAAAGATAGTCCGTAATCATAAGTTCTGGAATACGCCACGATGGGCTGATATTGGGTATAAGTAGGCTCTGAGAATATCAGTCATTTTTGAGTAACAATTTTGCCATATCTACAAAGAGTATCTGGGTTTCGATGAATATCTTGAGATAACATCGGTGGTGATAATTGTATTTTGTACGGCAATGCAAGATGACGAGATTCATGGACCGTTAGCATCGAAAGATGTTTGCTGATTTCCGTTTTTCCAAATTCATTTAACTCGACTACGAAGACACATTCAAGGAAAACCAGGTCCCACCGAAGGCCTATTTTTATGATGACATTGTCGATTAAGTAAAGTTGTATTTGCCATTGCGGTCGATGGCGTTATTTATTTTCTATGTAAGTAGTTAAGCTTCGGCAGAACAAGAACTGGATTCAAGGGCTGGTGTTGGGGAAATACAAAGCTGGACACTGTGAAGAAAGGTCGTCACGAAGCTTTAATAAGCTCTAAGCTGTGACCCAGAAAAGGGAAAGCTTCCACATGATTAGATAACAATTTAATAAACTCACATGGGTTTTAATGGTAAACTTTAGTGATTAAAATTAATATTATCTACTCCAATGAGATACTAATTGTGCAAAATTTGTTGCTTTAAGTTCAAAATTGGCATAAATTAAAGGTTAATAATTTTTTCTCGATTGTGTACGGGAAGCGCTTAAGGCTCAGTTATTTCCTTTTTTGCATCGACTTCTCCAGCCTATCAACTTGTGAAATTAATTTTCTCTGCTCCTTCCATTTCATATGAAATTTAATCTCCGTCTGTTGCTTTAAAGTCCAACCCAAGACAATGCCAGCTTTGCAGCCTAATTTATGCGAGTGGCCCAACGGGAATGCAAAGCAATCTTCTTATTAACGAGCCAGCGGTGTTGGCCATTTTTTCATTTCCAAACACAACCAAATCGGTAGAGCACGTGGGAGTTTGCCTCTCTCGTCGACACAGCCGAGTGCGCTGGTCGTTTCGGAGACGACCCGAGGCCTTTACGGTACCTCACTTTCCAGCCCATACTGCGATCCCGATCTGGCCAGCAGCCACGGCTACCGCTGGCCGAAGCCTGGATGACTGTAATGCTTGGTTCCAACAAAGAGAAAAGTGCACATTGGTTGTAGAACCTTAGCAACGATGTGTTGGCAATCCTTATTTGTTCGACGGAGTGACACACATTCTGATAATTTGTGCATTTTTTTTGCTAGACATGCTCAACTGGCATCTGAGATGCTTGTGTACTTTGTGATCATATCACTGATTGACGCTATAAATGAATACGAAGAAAAGTTGGGTTTTGAGGAATCTCTTATTTCATAATAGTTGAGCTTACTTCCATTTCGAGTGGAAGTATTGGATGAAGAGATTCGAAGGTCGGTTCCACCAGAAGATGACGGCGATGATGTGCGTCATATGACGGAGGAAAGCTTAGCACCTTTTCACCGGAATCGAAGGAGATTGCCTCGGAAAAAGCGTCAGCATGAATCTTCCAGTAAAGCCAACCGACCTTCGAATCTCTTCACCCAACACTTCCACTCGAAATGGAAGTGAGCTATAAATGAACACAGGTTTCCGTCTTTTTAAGCATTACTTCCAACCATATCCGAATCCGGCAGACGTTTTTCCAGACGTATAAACCTAAGAAGAGCTACTTCAGTTGCGATTATTCTGTGAAATTGCCGGTAAAGCATAGAGTTGTCTGTAAAGGAGGAAGCTTATGAAGACCAAAGCGAACGGTGTAAAACCCAAGTCACTTTGTTCAGCTCGACTTGTATGCACCAACATGAAATGGTGTCAATAGTCGTTTAGCCCATAAGCCAGCATGCCAGTCCCTTTCATACTGGAATGATGTGGAGTAATCTCCTCACGACGAAGTGAAGAGAAGGATTGATTTTGTGGTTAAGGTAAACTTAGTCAGGCATCCAGCAAAGCCTTTCTTACCTTTCAACCCTTGCTACATCGTCTCACCAGCCTCATCAGCCGGAATCATAACAATTGATGCACCTAATCTAATTTCACAATAAACATGACTTTCGACGTGGACCTGGATAATATTAGTTTAGTGTCATCTTGTATGAAGGTAATCCTGGCAATTAGCAACGTGCTCAGTACTACTAACAAAAATCAGTAGTGTATTGAGTTTAATGAGAAAAACGCATCTTCAACTAACTACACAAAATCCGGACCACCTGAGAAATGAGAACTGCTAGCTTGGCCTTGATGGTCATGCCTGATATGTAACTCGGTTTAATTGGGTTTATGTAGTCTACTAAGATAGAGATGTATTCACCCTATTTCGTGTAAGGTGAT